TCCACTGGTGAGAAGTCATGTGACCTAACCTGTCTCCAAAAATGGTGGGAGACGTAGGCGAATGAATGGCTAGATGTAATACTACTATTGAGGCAGACAGAGAGGATGGACTTGGGGCACAGTCAGCTCTCTCTGATTCATTGGGTATGTGTGAATGCATGGGGCCACAGTGCTTTGGGGCTCTGATGATTTTGACATGGGACAACCTCGCATTGAGCTTTCTCTCTCTTCAGTTTGCACCTCACAGTCCCTCATGGAGGACTGAGGTGGTGTTAGATCTTTCTCTCTCTTTCAGCAGTACTAGGGTTTGAACTCAGGCCTCACATTTGCTAGTTGAACACTACCACTTAAGCCGTACTTCCAACCCTTTTTGCGTTAGTCATTTCAGGTAGGTCTGTGTTTTTGCCCAGGCTGGCCTGTAATGCTGCTGCTGTCTATTCTTTCTGCATAGCTGGGATTATACATAGTGCCTGCCTTTTGGGTCCCAACCTCTCTCTTTATTTCTTTTGACCGTAGTGGGGTTTGGGCTCAGGGCCTCATGTGTGCTACACTGGTGCTCTACCTCTTGAGCCAGTCTGCCAGCCTTTTTTTGTGTTGGGTGTTTTTGAGATAGGGTCTCTTTAACTATTTGCCCAGGCTGGCTTCAAATCACAATCCTCCTGATCTCTGCCCCCTGAGTAACTAGGATTACAGGCGTGAGGCACCAGTCGCCCTGCTACATCTTTCTTAATAGTCAGGGAGCAGTCTTGAGGGCTCTCTGTGGGGTCTTGCTCCATTTGAGATGACTGGCAGTAAGTTGCTACCAGGTTTGATTGAAAATCTCATGTCAACACCTCTAGGGAATTCCTCGAAATGCAGTCTGTTCTCTATCTCTGTGGGTTTGTTATATACAAATTCCAGTCTATTTTTATGTAAGGGACTGGAGCATCTGAAGATATTCCTATCTGTGGGAGGTCCTGAAACCAATCCTCCGTGGACACCAGGGGATCACTACAGAGGAAGAGGAATCCTGGGAAAGTCTGGACTTCCTGTTACTCAAGCAGTGAATACTCAGAGACTTGGGACAATTATTCAAATGTGGTCTCATTTATACTCATAGGCTGTTGAAGCCTGGGCATTCCAGATACGTATAGATTTGATTTGATTATTTATTTATTGGTATAAGAAAAGCCTTTCTCCTCCTCCTCTTCCTCCTCCTCCTCCTTCTTTTTCTCCTTCCTTCTTCCCCTCCTTCCCTTCCCCTCCTTCTCTCCTCCTCCTCCCTCTCCACTTCCTCCTCGTCCCTCTCCTCTTCCTCCTCCTCCCCCTCCTCCTCCTCATTCTCCTTTCTCCCTTCTCTTCTTCCTTCTCCTCCTCCTCCACTGGAGATTGAACCCAGGTTCTCTCTCTTGCTAAGTAGCACTCTACCACTTGAGCCAGGCCCCATCTAAGACAAAGCTCACACCCTTTTGCAAAGCAAGGACGCAGATTGCCTGGAACCAACCATTCGGATCTGACCCTTCCTCGCTGCACTCCATGCTCTGGCTGCACTGTGTGAGTTGCTCTTTTCCACGTGTGACGGGGATTTCATGCCCCAGTGCCTTTGCACTTACAGTTTTGTATGCCTGGCATGCGCCCCTCTCCTGGCACACACGTCATCCTTCCAGGCTGCTGTTGAGTGATAACCATGAAGACAGCTGGTATTTAGGCACCTGTCATGCCTGGCACTGTTCCAAGCCCTTTACAGGTTTAGCTTTTAATTTTCACAACAGACATGAGGTGGGTGGTGCAGTTGCCCACATTTTAGCATTAATGCAGTTAGGACATAAGGAAGTCAGTGAGGACATGCGTTTCAGGGCCGGCCTGACCTCCTGATAGGTATGTTTCTTAAAGCCTCCCCACCCTGGCAGTAGAACCAGTGTGCTTTTCTGGGTTCCACTAACTCAAACTGGGTCAAAGATGGTTGCTTTTTACCTGTGAGATCGTCTTGGTAGCACTGTGTAGCATGTAGGATGTGAAGGGTGGTGTTGGTGTTACATGTCAGCCTCATGAGGCTGCAGCACTTGCTCGTTCAGTCCAGCTGAAGGTGTATCTGCAGGTGTGGTTCATGTCTACGAGAGTGGATTTTAAGTGGCCTTGACTGTCTGGAAAGCATAGCTGGAGTTTCCACGAGGTACCTGCTCTTCCAGCCTGAAGCCTGCACTGTGGATTTGGGACTTGCTCAGCTGTCCCCACAGTTATGTCAGCTAAGTCCTTGCAGTAAATCTCTCTGTGCTGGTTCTGTTTGTCTGATAGAACCCTGGCTGATGCAGTTGGTGTCAATGACACAGGCTGGTTTCTATGGTGTCAATGTGCATTTTCTTTTTGGTTGGCAGTACTAGGATTTGAACTCAGAGCCTCATGATATCTAGGCAGGTGTTCTACCACTTGAGCTACTCCTTCAGTCCTTTTTTTGTGATGGGTGTTTTCGAGGTGTGTGTGTGTGTGTGGGGGGGGGTCTCTCAAACTATTTGCCCAGGCTGGTTTCGAACTGTGATCTTCCTGATCTGTATCCTGAGCAGTTAGGATTCTAGCTAGAATTACGGTGCCTGGCTGTCAGTGTCCTTTTTTTCCTTGTTTGAAGTCTATGCTTGATCTTCTCCAGGGTACCTTTAAGGGCTTTTCAGAACTTGATCAAAGTTTTGGAGATAGCCATGTTCAGACATGCTCCAGGTTTTTACTGAATCCCAAGGTTCTCTTGCTTCGTCCTCAGAACCTCGAACTCACTGACACTTCAACAGAAACACATTTACTACGAAACAACAGAAGCCTGTGCCACACTTGCTTTCAGAAAGTCTCTAAGATGAAGATATTGAAAGAAGTAGATTTGGAAAGAAATTCTGTAACATTTAAATGTTTTGAGAAATTGAAGATTTGATTCAAATGAAGGGTATCTTCTTCAGCCAGCTTTGAAATTTCTTATTAAAGAAAAAAGAAAATCATGAGAAAAAGATAAATGGAATATGAAGTAAAAGTGATTTCAGAGGACAGAAAAATTAATAGAAAAGTTTCTGAAATTGAAAAGTGAATTGTAATAAGACTTTTCAGCCAGGTACCAGTGACTCTCACACCTGTAATCCTAGCTACTTGGGAAGAAGAGATGAGAAGGATAGTGGCTACAGGTCAGCTTGGGCAAAGAGTTTGAGAGACTCCCATCTCCAAAATAACCAGAGCAAAATGGATGGGAGGTGTGGCTTAAGTGGTAAAATATTTGTATTGCAAATGCAAAGCCCTGAGTTCAAACCCCACCAAAAAAAAGACTTTTCAGATCCCACTGAAAGTGGTAGTCCATTGAGAGGAAGAATTAAATCTTAACTAGAAGCAGTAGAGTCTTAGATTGTTTGATGACCAAGAACACTTGATATGACCTGAAATTTTATAGCTTGTGTATAAAAGAAATTTGTAAGAGATATTTTCAAATTTGACAACAATTCTAAACATTTTACACAGTACTCACAACTGTGTTAGATATTAAGCTAAAAGAAATCTTTCTAAGTTGTGAATGAAAACACACTTTGGTCAGCCACAGTGGAGGGAAGACTGGGTTATTTTTCTATCTGTTCTATAAAGAGAGATTTTATAAAATATCAGGATATGAAGAGGCAAAAATGCAGCCCAAAATGTAGCAAAAAACCGATCACAGAGGTATCTTAAATGGTAATTAGTGAAATGCAAGTTCTTTTTCTAAGTCTTGTGATGTTTATATATTCAACAGCTTAAAAAATTTATCAGGATTTCCTTTTTGCTTCTAAATAGATATTTAACTATTTTGAAATTTCCTTCCTTCCTTTCTTCCTTCCTCCCTCCCTTTTTTCCTCCCTCCCTTTTTTCCTCCCTCCTTCCCTCCTTCCCTCCTTCCCTTCCTTCCTTCCATACTGGGCTTTGAACTAAGGGCTTCAGGCTTATAAGGCAGGCTTTCTACCACTTCAGCCAAGCCTCCAGCCCCTAAAATTCTCTTAATTATAGAAAACCCTACATTGTATGAGCACCAGGTTCCTTCAAACCTGGATTTCAACTTTCATTAATGATTTTCTCTTAAACTGGACATAAAGGCTCATGCCTGTAATCCCTGCTAGTAGGGAGGCTAAGGCAGGAGAATCAAGTTTGCGGCTAGGCTGGGTTACATTAATGAGATCCCATCTCAAAACAAACGAAATCAAACAAAACAAGACAGAAACTGGTGCCTTTTTCTCCTCAAGAATAGGAAGTAAGCCAGGTGTGGTGGCACAGGCCAGGAATCCCAGACTGGGAAGGTGGAGATATGAGGACCTCAAAATCTCAAATTGAGGCCAGCCTGGGCGACATAGCAAGACCCTGTATCAGGAAAAAAACAAAACAAAACTAGATCTAGGGATTAGACTTTTGGGGTTTCAGAGAGAATAGTGATACGCATTGAGTAACCAGTTTGAAACTCACAGCAGGCTTCATTCAAATTTGCCTCAATAAACAGATTTTTTTTTTTTTTTAGTGTGTGTATTTTTTTGAGACAGGGTCTTGCTATGTAGCTCAGGCTGGCCTCAAACTCACAATCTTCCTGGCCTCAGCTTCATGAGTGCCGGGATTATAGGCATGTGCCACCATGCCCAGCTGCTAATGAACTGAAAAATGATTACGTATCACGAATCTTTGGAGTGTAACTTTGCTTGAATGTAACTGATACTTCAAATGTTAAATTAGCAGATTCCAAGAGATTAGCATAAGGGTCTATCCTGAGGGGGCATTACCTGAAAAAGAGGGAAAAGGAGTGGGGTGCCATCTTTAGCCTTTGGGATCTTCTAAGAGCCCTTATGTGGGACTGGACACTGGCTTTCAGACGTCCTGTGCCACTGTCTCACAGAAGAAAGTCCCTCGGTTTTGGGAGTTGGGAAATCCCAGCCAAGTAAATGTGATGGACCCATCATTTTCAGGTGGTCCATGACAATCTTGCGTCCCACGCTGTGGCTGGGTGCGACTTACTGAGAACAGGGACCTATTTTCAAAGGCCAGTCCTGACTTGGGCGAGCAGATGAGGCTGGCGTTGATATGCACCCGTTTTGGAAGGATTTCTGCATCCTAGGCAGGATGGATGAGGTAAAAGATGGTGATTTCCCCTATGAAGAAAGGCCCAGGTTCCTTCTGTGATCTGGTATCGTCTTCCTGTATATTGCTCCCTCAGTGACGGATGGAGGCAGTGAGGCCAGTAATGTGACAGGAACACGGCTGGCCCTTCCTCTTGTGTGTCATGGGTGACTGTTCACTGGTGTTCCCTTTGGGCTTCATGCTTCCTCTGTGGCTCTGTGGGCAGAGATGCAGACACCCCGATAAGCAGAGTGACACTGGCACCAGGACCGTGCAGAAGTTCCTTGTGGCGCTTGAGGGTCTGTGCAAGAAGACGCTGTCCCCATCCTCTTCTGCACACCCAAGTCCCAATGTGCCACATGCCACTCAGTGAAAGCAGAGCGGCCCACAGGTGTTTCCATGGTCCGTGATTTCATTCACGGAGTTTCCTACACCTGAAATTCCCATTTTTCTGTTTGCATTGGTGACAATTTTATGCATAATTTAACCCTTCTGTAGGATTCCTTCCTCTTTGGAGCATCCACTGAGCACTTTACCTATATTTTGAGGAAGGAAGGCCCTTCCTTGTTCCACTGGTCACCTGTCTGTGTTAAATTGACAGTGACTGCTTCCTCCTGCCTGCCTGCCAAGCCTGGATGGCAAGACGCTGGCGTCCAGGGGCATCGGCTGTCAAGATCCTGTCTACTTTAAAGTGAGCGTTCTTTTTCTGACCTCAGGGGAAAGCCATATTTCATCTCTCAGGTGTTTGTGACTCTACCTGGCCCCCATACAAATTGCTGTTGGGGACCTGTGTTTCTTTACACGAAATGTGCCTTAAAACATGCAAAGTTTCCTAAGCATGTAAAGAGAAAACAATCTTCTATAATTTCAGGGCTGTGAAACTCGCGTGGTACCGAACTTGAATGTCCACGGAGCAACTGTGTTTAAGCGGAAGTGTTTCAGAGTCATGCTTGTAAAGCTACATCTTTGGCTGTCACCCAACTCCACTCGTGTCCCTTCTGCTTTCACCCACTGGATGCCGCTGTCTGCCCAGGGAATCTCAGAGCTCTGAACCTTGTGAGGTAATTAGAAAGCAAGCTGTTTGGAAAAAGCTTTCGTAAGTGGCTGCAAAGCCATTTCCAATGACTTCCAAATAGGACATTTTCGCTGACAGTTTGCAAGAGGCATCTACTATTTCTTTGGTACAAAGACACCCTTCAAAACTCTTTACTGGGGAGACGAGTGAAGTTCGTGACAGCCTTTCCCTTCTCAGCCCTGTGGCCCGGATGGAGACAGGTGTGTAAACAGGGCCTCATTCGGCTTTTGTCCCTTATGACTTTTTCAGCAGATGACAGAGCCACAGGAGGGACTGGCGGGTGAATCTGTCCCCAGAGATGTAGGACCCCTTGAGAGGGAAGGAAGTCTCCAGGATGCGAGGTCATCTCCACCTCACTGGCACTTTCCATCAGGAAAGCAAGTCCCATCAGGGGTGGTCTAACTGGACTGCCCAGGTGGAAGACACCTGAAGAATTAACCCCGGGGAAGGGGGCTTTGTTTCAGCTGAAACAGTGAGCAGTGTTTTGTGGGTGATCACAAAGTGACCAAGGAGATGTCTGTCACTGTCGGGGACAAGGCAAGTCAGTGTGCATGACAGTCAGGTGCTGAAATTTGTGAGTCCCCAAACGTCTTTACAATTGCAAAACTTTCCAGGGAACTAGGGAGCGTCTTGGGGTTCACTGTGGTTATCGCTTTTTGGAAAACTATGGGGCATACGAATCAGTAAGAGATTACAGGACTATTTGTCATTTTAAGTAATTTAGAGTTTTTTTCAGTCCTGTGGATTGAAGTCAGAGCCTACCGTATGCTAGGCAAGTGCTCTTCCACTTGAGCCTTTTTGTTTTTGAGATGGGGTTTCCCTAACTTTTGCCTGGACTGGTCTTGAACTTGAGATTCTTCTGCCTTCATCTCCCCAATAGCTGGAATTATAGATGTGTACTACCATGCCTTTTTTTTTTTTAAGGTGGTACTGGGGTTTGAACTCAGGGCCTCATGATCATTAGGCAGGTGCTCTACCACTTGAGCCACTCCGCCAGCCCTGTTTTGTGTTTAGTATTTTCAAGATGGGGTCTTGAGAACTATTTACCTGGGCTGGTCTCAAACCACGATCCTCCTGATCTCTGCTTCTCGAATAGCTAGGATTGCAGGTGTGAGCCACTGGTGCCGGCACCATGCCTGGTTTGTAATTTAGACTTCTTAGATACTAATTTAAATCTCACCCCTAGTGTTATCCAAACAACAATGTCTTCAAAAGTGATAGGTTTGAACCATACCCTTCTCTCCTTTCCCCTTTCCTTCCTTCCTTCCTTCCTCCTCCCTCCCTCCCCCCCTCTCTCCCTCCCTCCCTCTCTCCCTCTCTTCCTCCCTCCCTGCCTCCCTTTCTCTCTCTCTCTTTCTTTCTGACAGGATCTCCATATGAAGCTGAGACTGGCATGAGCTCGGGCCCCCCCGTCTTTACTCCTAAGTGAATGCTGGGATTACAGATGTGCACCATCATACCTGGCCCTAAACCATTCTTTCTTTTGGTGGTATGGGGTTTGAACTCAGGGTCTCACGTTGCTAGGCAGGTGCTCCACCATTGAACCACTCCACCAGCCCTAAACCATTGTTTCTAAGCCAACCTCATTTAGCTGGTATCAAAATGTGACCCGCTCAGTTTTCATGTGTGTGATGACAGTTGGAGACAGTTCTTGATCTGCTTGTTGATGTCTCAGTGAGATGGAGGTTGAGTTACACCTAAACCTTCATCTCTCAATTTTGCACATGCAGAGTCTTCACAGCAAGACAGACATACGGGAACAGAAACGGAATCCCTTCACTCACCAAGTATTTAGAGAGCGCTTATGGCTCTCAGTGAGGAACCTTCATCACTGTAAGAGTAGCACAGCACAGCACAGGAATTTGGAAAACACAGATGGGCGTCTAGAAGAGTCTTGCACACCTTGCCTGTAATTCTACCATCCAGAGATCCAACAGTCGTGTCTTGGTGATTTACTAATATTTGGATGGTGTAGCTTCAGTTTTTGCCTCAATGTGTATCTGTGTATGTGTGCAATCTACGGGTTGTAATCATGTCAAGTATAGTATTATTTTTTTCGTGGCACTGGGGTTTGAATTCAAGGTCTCACACTTGCTAGGCAAGTGCTCTACCACTTGAACCAGCCCTTGTGCATGTTATTTTTTAAACTTATTGTCTCTTGTTTTCCCTTGTTCTTAAATCTTCTACAATACACATTTTTTAGCTGAGTCTTGTTATTACCTAGTTTAACTTCAAACTTGTGAACTTCAGTGATCCTCCCTGCCTGAGGCTTCTGAATAGCTGGAGCTATAAGCATGTACCACAGTGCCTGGCTCTACAACATAGTCTTTTAATGGCTGCAAACTGTTTGGTTACTTGGACAATTTTTAAGCCAATCCCCTATGGTTGAACAATCTTGTAGCTGTCACTTTTTGTACGTTCATGATCACTTCTTCCATAAAGGTGATAAGTGGGATTTTTAGGCTCAAGGATGTGACTATCTTATTTATTCATTTATTGGCAGTACTGGGGTTTGAACTCAGGGCCTCACACTTACTAGGCAGGTGCTCTGCCACTTGAGCCACTCTGCCAGCCCTTTTTTGTGTTGTTATCTTCGAGAGAGGGTCTCAAGAACTATTTGCCTAGGCTGGCTTCGAACTTTGATCCTTTGATCTCTGGCTCCTGAGTAGCTAGGATTATAGGCGTGAGCCACTGTTGCCTGCCGAAGGATGTGAATATTTTAAAGTTTCCTCCATGTGGCAAACTGCGTTCTTCTCTTCTTAATGACAATTTACATCTGTTTCTACCACCAGTACACAAACATTCCCGGGTTTTGCTTTACTGTTTTAGAAATCTTTTTGTAGTGATTTCAGATGCTTTCTTCAGGTCTTCTTCATAAAAAAACAAGCAGATTTGTTTAACATCAGCCTTAAGATAAATGCCTTCCCCATTAGGGAAGGAGTTTTTATATTAGATTAAAGGAAGAACAAATGCACAATAAAAAAGGAACAGTATTGCTTCTCTGAATCTAGTCACAGCAGTGGGAACAGCTTAGTTTTAATTACTGGTTATAAATACTTCATAGCCCACTAATAAACGTCCTGCAGTATATTCAGAAAAAAAATGCAATGAACTCTTTGTCAGGTGAGAATTCACATTAGTTCTTGGCCTCTAAATCTCTGCTGAAAAGAAGGATAAAAATGCCATTTTTGCTGGTGAGAATGATTGAAAAGACTGATAACAACAGGAGCCTTAGCTAGGTGCTGAAAATAATTACTGCAATAGGACAAAATCAGGAAAATAAACCTGCATATTAATGTAGCACTAATTCTAGGTCAAGTCAGCATTAAAACAAATTAAACATAATGCTTAAGAGATAAATGAAAAAATGAAGAATAAGCTTAGAAAAGAACTCCCGGCTGTATTTGAAAATGTATTACTGAGTATTGATTATGAATGAGCTTGCATTTTTTTTGTGGGGGGGAGGTTTAAATTTAAAAACAATTTACATGTTTGCCTTTGGTCATTTGAAGTTCTTTGGTAAGTGCCTGTTTGCATTCTTATTCCATTTTTATGGGGATGTTAATCTTTTTCTTATTTATTTGTAAGAGTTTTAAAATGGCTACCAATAAATGTTGCATTCTTGAGTTCACGTGAAAATTTGACTTGAGAGGACACAGTGGACCAGCACTCTATCTTCTGCTCACGGAAAGGGATCAGTTGTGGGTTGTTCTGTTCCTTTCCCTCCGTGCTATCATTTTTAGGGTGATAGGTGTGTTTGTTAGTTTTCCATCACTATAACAAAGACTTCAGATAAATCAGCTTATAAAGAGGAAAGATTTATTTTGGTTTCTGGTTTTACTTTTCAGACCATGGTGGGCTGGCCCTGTTGCTGTCCCCCTTGAGGCCACACCCCCAATGATGAAAAAACCTCCACTACTCTTAAGGATTCCTCCACTTCCCAATAGCATCACTCTGGGAACAAGTCTTTGACCCATAGTCTATGGGAGCCATTTCAGATCCTAACTGTAGTAACACGACTAGGAAAAATATGAGTGGGTTTCTAGACTGCTTTTCTTCATCTTTCGACAGTGCCAGGGCTGGAAGTCAGGGCTTTGTGCTCATTAGGCACGTGCTCTGCCACTTGAGCCACACCCCAGCCCCCTAGGCTCTTGTGGCTTACGGCACGAGGAACTTCCTTCAAGCCAACCTGGCTTCATGGGAAAGTGCGTCCTCTTGGCATGGGTGTGTGGTGGGGTGGTCACACAGGTCAACTGCACGATGAGCTCTCCTGAGCCCATGGGCCATGGCAAGTGGCATATGTGTGGGGATGGCCAGGGGGCGTAGCTGGCAGGTGCACACATGCCATAGCCTCTCTGCTCCTGCCACCCTGCAAATGTTATGGGACTTCCCTCCTAAAACACAATGATAAGGCGGCAATAATGGAGTGTGACATTAAGTGTGAGGCCCTTCTGAGTGTGGGGGGGTTCCAAGTGACTGTGTAGGTCGTAGTCCTGGAAGCCTCTCCTGGAGCGACCCCACGTTGATTCTTGCTGGTGGCCGGGCCTGGCCATGGTTTAGGGATTGGGCTCCTGGAGCAGAGGAAAGGGCTCTGACTCTTCCAGCTGGAGTTAAAAAGCCCGAGAGCTTTCCAGCCAGCAGACGACAGTCTTAATCTCCTGAGGAACACTGCTCTTCTGCCACGCAGCCCCCACCCCAGCACGCACACCCTTCCTGCTGGCTGGACATTTAATGCCACTCATTGGTTTTGAGCCCTGCCAGTAAGGAGGGTAAAGGGGGTGGGCAGCGTGTGAAATGCCCAGCTTGCCCGCATAGGAATAATCTTGAGTTCTGTGCCCATTACCCCACTGCCCTCCTCACACAGAAATGCCCTCAAAAAGGGAAAAATCAGAGCATTTCATAAACATGCTTCCAAAATAACCCTTATTCCCAGCAGCACCTTCTCTTTGTGGCAGAGCAGCTGTCTTTATTCTACCCTAG